TCACACATCTATAAACGATTCTTAATAAGACTGCTGATTTAGATTTGCGTTATTTTCAATTTGAAAAAATTTATTTTGACAGTTTTGTTTAAACTGCTGTATTTTTTAAAGTGTGCGACTTAAAGCGAAACGAAATTCAATTCATACATCTAAAACGATTCTTAATAAGACTGCTGATTTGGATTTGCGTTATTTTAAATTTGGGGAAAAACTTGAACTTTTGATTTTTCGACTGACGAAGCGAGCGATCGACGTACTATCATTTTCGGTATTAAAAAAATTAATTCCTTATAGTCAGCTGTCAGATTAACATTAATATATATAAAAACACATTTTCAAGTGCGTTCAAAGTATTTAAGCGAAGATAGATCGATTTCGATGTTGAAACGAAAAATTTAAAAAGTGACAAGCTTTAAGATATTATAAATATACATGCTCAGTCGTGTTTAGAATCGTTTCTTGTGGTTCGGGACATTCGCCTTCGAATGTTACATCGATGTAGAAAGCAGAATTTATAAATCTTGAAATTTGAAAAAATTCATTTTCCACAGTTTTGTTTAAACTGCTTTATTTTTAAAGTGTGCGACTTAAAGCGAAACGAAATTCAGTTCATACATCTATAAACGATTCTTAATAAGACTGCTGATTTAGATTTGCGTTATTTTCAATTTGAAAAAATTTATTTCTGACAGTTTTGTTTAAACTGCTTAATTTTTAAAGTGTGCGATTTAAAGCGAAACGAAATTCAGTTCACATATCTATAAACGATTCTTAATAAGACTGCTGATTTGGATTTTCGTTATTTTCAATTTGAAAAAATTCATTTTTGACAGTTTTGTTTAAACTGCTGTATTTTATAAAGTGTGCGATTTAAAGCGAAACGAATTTCAGTTCACACATCTATAAACGATTCTTAATAAGACTGCTGATTTAGATTTGCGTTATTTTCAATTTGAAAAAATTTATTTTTGACAGTTTTGTTTAAACTGCTGTATTTTTTAAAGTGTGCGACTTAAAGCGAAACGAAATTCAGTTCACATATCTATAAACGATTCTTAATAAGACTGCTGATTTGGATTTGCGTTATTTTCAATTTGAAAAAATTTATTTTTGACAGTTTTGTTTAAACTGCTGTATTTTTTAAAGTGTGCGATTCAAAGCGAAACGAATTTCAGTTCACACATCTATAAACGATTCTTAATAAGACTGCTGATTTAGATTTGCGTTATTTTCAATTTGAAAAAATTTATTTTTGTCAGTTTTGTTTAAACTGCTGTATTTTTTAAAGTGTGCGACTTAAAGCGAAACGAAATTCAGTTCACATATCTATAAACGATTCTTAATAAGACTGCTGATTTGGATTTGCGTTATTTTCAATTTGAAAAAATTCATTTTTGACAGTTTTGTTTAAACTGCTGTATTTTTTAAAGTGTGCGACTTAAAGCGAAACGAAATTCAGTTCACATATCTATAAACGATTCTTAATAAGACTGCTGATTTGGATTTGCGTTATTTTAAATTTGGGGAAAAACTTGAACTTTTGATTTTTCCACTTACGACGCGAGCGATCGACGTACTATCATTTTCGGTATTAAAAAATTAATTCCTTATAGTCAGCTGTCAGATTAACATTAATATATATTAAAAACACATTTTCAAGTGCGTTCAAAGTCTTTAAGCGAAGATAGATCGATTTCGATGTTGAAGCGAAAAATTTAAAAAGTGACAAGCTTTAAGATATTATAAATATACATGCTCAGTCGTGTTTAGAATCGTTTCTTGTGGTTCGGGACATTCGCCTACGAATGTTACATCGATGTACAAAGCAGAATTTAAAAATCTTGAAATTTGAAAAAATTCATCTTTGACAGTTTTGTTTAAACTGCTGTATTTTTTAAAGTGTGCGACTACAAGCGAAACGAAATTTATTTCACACATCTAAATACGATTCTTAATAAGACTGCTGATTTGGATTTGCGTTATTTTAAATTTGGGGAAAAACTTGAACTTTTGATTTTTCCACTTACGACGCGAGCGATCGACGTACTATCATTTTCGGTATTAAAAAAATTAATTCCTTATAGTCAGCTGTCAGATTAACATTAATATATATTAAAAACACATTTTCAAGTGCGTTCAAAGTCTTTAAGCGAAGATAGATCGATTTCGATGTTGAAGCAAAAATTTAAAAAGTGACAAGCTTTAAGATATTATAAATATACATGCTCAGTCGTGTTTAGAATCGTTTCTTGTGGTTCGGGACATTCGCCTTCGAATGTTACATCGATGTAGAAAGCAGAATTTATAAATCTTGAAATTTGAAAAAATTCATTTTCGACAGTTTTGTTTAAACTGCTTTAATTTTTAAAGTGTGCGACTTAAAGCGAAACGAAATTTAGTTCATACATCTATAAACGATTGTTAATAAGACTGCTGATTTAAATTTGCGTTATTTTCAATTTGAAAAAATTTATTTCTGACAGTTTTGTTTAAACTGCTGTATTTTTTAAAGTGTGCGACTTAAAGCGAAACGAAATTCAGTTCACATATCTATAAACGATTCTTAATAAGACTGCTGATTTAGATTTGCGTTATTTTCAATTTGAAAAAATTTATTTTTGACAGTTTTGTTTAAACTGCTGTATTTTTTAAAGTGTGCGACTTAAAGCGAAACGAAATTTAGTTCACATATCTATAAACGATTCTTAATAAGACTGCTGATTTGGATTTGCGTCATTTTCAATTTGAAAAAATTTATTTTTGACAGTTTTGTTTAAACTGCTGTATTTTTTAAAGTGTGCGACTTAAAGCGAAACGAAATTTAGTTCACATATCTATAAACGATTCTTAATAAGACTGCTGATTTGGATTTGCGTTATTTTCAATTTGAAAAAATTCATTTTTGACAGTTTTGTTTAAACTGCTGTATTTTATAAAGTGTGCGATTTAAAGCGAAACGAATTTCAGTTCACACATCTATAAACGATTCTTAATAAGACTGCTGATTTAGATTTGCGTTATTTTCAATTTGAAAAAATTTATTTCTGACAGTATTGTTTAAACTGCTGTATTTTTTAAAGTGTGCGACTTAAAGCGAAACGAAATTCAATTCATACATCTAAATACGATTCTTAATAAGACTGCTGATTTGGATTTGCGTTATTTTAAATTTGGGGAAAAACTTGAACTTTTGATTTTTCGACTGACGAAGCGAGCGATCGACGTACTATCATTTTCGGTATTAAAAAAATTAATTCCTTATAGTCAGCTGTCAGATTAACATTAATATATATTAAAAACACATTTTCAAGTGCGTTTAAAGTATTTCAGCGAAGATAGATCGATTTCGATGTTGAAACGAAAAATTTAAAAAGTGACAAGCTTTAAGATATTATAAATATACATGCTCAGTCGTGTTTAGAATCGTTTCTTGTGGTTCGGGACATTCGCCTTCGAATGTTACATCGATGTAGAAAGCAGAATTTATAAATCTTGAAATTTGAAAAAATACATTTTCCACAGTTTTGTTTAAACTGCTTTAATTTTTAAAGTGTGAGACTTAAAGCGAAACGAAATTCAGTTCATACATCTATAAACGATTCTTAATAAGACTGCTGATTTAGATTTGCGTTATTTTCAATTTGAAAAAATTTATTTCTGACAGTTTTGTTTAAACTGCTTTAATTTTTAAAGTGTGCGATTTAAAGCGAAACGAAATTCAGTTCACATATCTATAAACGATTCTTAATAAGACTGCTGATTTGGATTTTCGTTATTTTCAATTTGAAAAAATTCATTTTTCACAGTTTTGTTTAAACTGCTGTATTTTATAAAGTGTGCGATTTAAAGCGAAACGAATTTCAGTTCACACATCTATAAACGATTCTTAATAAGACTGCTGATTTAGATGTGCGTTATTTTCAATTTGAAAAAATTTATTTTTGACAGTTTTGTTTAAACTACTGTATTTTTTAAAGTGTGCGACTTAAAGCGAAACGAAATTTAGTTCACATATCTATAAACGATTCTTAATAAGACTGCTGATTTGGATTTGCGTTATTTTCAATTTGAAAAAATTTATTTTTGACAGTTTTGTTTAAACTGCTGTATTTTATAAAGTGTTCGATTCAAAGCGAAACGAATTTCAGTTCACACATCTATAAACGATTCTTAATAAGACTGCTGATTTAGATTTGCGTTATTTTCAATTTGAAAAAATTTATTTTTGTCAGTTTTGTTTAAACTGCTGTATTTTTTAAAGTGTGCGACTTAAAGCGAAACGAAATTCAGTTCACATATCTATAAACGATTCTTAATAAGACTGCTGATTTGGATTTGCGTTATTTTCAATTTGAAAAAATTCATTTTTGACAGTTTTGTTTAAACTATTGTATTTTTTAAAGTGTGCGACTTAAGGGGTTAGGCCACTGTAGAGCGCCCAAAAAAGGCCTATTTTGATAATTTTTTACTATAAAACAAAAACAGTGATAGAAAATCCTTTTTAAGTACTTAATCTTACATACTTCGAAATATATAAAAAAATTTTTTTGCATTTTTTTTTACAAAATGGCGGTGACAGAGCTCTGCAACGATGACCACTCGTTTCGGACAGTGCCTTACGGGCGACCTACTAGCTGCTCCAATTTTGCTCTAGAACAAAAAACCAAATTTTTTAATTCTTTATATCATTAGCTAGCGAACTACGTACGGAAATTAAAAAATAATTGTTTTTGTAAAAATGACACACAAGTTTAAGAAAAAGTTTCATTTTTTGACGAAAAATTTGCACAAAATTGTTTGTAAAAAAAAAAGTTTACAACGAAACGTAAAATCCGTACGTAGTTCGCTGACAAATGTATCTTAGAAGCTACAGTTTAAATTTGAAGTAAATCGGTCAAGATTTGTGGGAGTTATGAGGTCGCCCAGTTTGAAAAAAGTGATTTCGAGAAAAACGCGTTAAAGTTTTATGTAACAATCAGCGATAGAATTTTTCGTTTACTTTAATCTGCGATGCCTGCACCATATAATTGACCTTCCTCATTAATGTTCTTCTCCTCCTGGTCCTTCTTGGTCGATTTTAGTGATGATCGAGCCTCTTTTGCAGCATCTGTCAACGAGCGCTCCGAAAGTTTGATGCGTCGCGCGTCAGTCTCGAGGCAATAATTGTAGCAGTTCGGTCCAATTGTTATGCTTAATTCTCCCATAATCTTCATAAGTTGGAATATCCATCATTGTATGTACAAACAGCAATATTACTTGCTGTATCGATAATAATTTTGCCGCTGGAAACTGATTTTGGAGCCATTGACCAAATCAAAGCGTTGTAACTTTCGTTACTGTTTGGGTGTAGCCACCTAAACAACGTTTAAGAAGATCGTCACTACTTAATTCTTCATAGATTGGCTTAATAGCATCAAAAACCATTTGAGGAAGAGCTGGCTTATGCTTAAATTCAGCTAATTTATTAGTGGCTTTCGCCAGTTGCCACTTGCACCACGAATCTTTACCGGGCGGGCATTTATCGTGCTGTGGCTTTTCGTCTGTGGATAATTTATGATAAAGGGTCGCCCAGATCTCTCGCCTCATATTTTCAATTGAATTATGATTACGACGGATAGCTAATCCGAAATAAACAGACAATTCATCTATAAGTTTAGCAGTCAATTTGCCTTTTCCTCCAAGTCCTTTCATGGCATTCTTCAACTTGCGAAGGCGAGTACCCATTCGTTTTTGAACATGATCAATACATTCCTTTTTCTTTACTGATGAATTTTCTACTTGTTGTGATTCCAAAAGACCCTTAAAAGTTTTGGAATCTCCATCTCCAATGTAATTTACGTATTTCACCTGATGCAATTGTTCTGAGCGTTGGAACATTTCTATGACTGCGTCGACTTCCATTTTGCCGGCTGATCCCTCGTGATTCGCTTGACATTCGTTGGCGTGTGTGATGTTTTCCATTCTTCGTATTCTGTAGTGTCAACTTTTTTTTCCCAAAACTCACAAGTTTTACAATACTTAGACTTCACAACAATGTCAATTACTTTTCCAGAGAACCATCCAATTAATGTTACCAATCCGAACAGTGATGAAAAGCCACGTTTTTCCACGATCCATCGCCTGACACTGTTAAACCATCTGTTTGACCTTTTTCTAGAGACAAAGCCTTTTCTTCTTGAGCTGCCATAAGCATATTTTTTAGCAACTGTTTCAGTTGCGTGTAAAATTGTGCGCGTGAGTTTATCGTAAAATGAATGAAAAATTGGTCGAGGAAGATCCATGAAGGCGCAAAAATTTCTATTCCATGAAGACCAATACCCAATAATCGCATAGCAAAAATCATTCTACGATTTATTTCAAATGCATTATCAAAAAAGGACAATTCGGAATGAAAATGTCGTCGCAGTTCTCACAAGAAAGAACGATTTTGAATCCCAAGCCTCGTTTGCTGCTTTCGCTAAATGTCACTTTAGAATGGCACGTTTTACACACAACAGATTCCGAAAGTGCAGTAAAAACCGCAATAAAATTTAGTAAACGGTAGCCAAAAGTTTCATTCACTTTAATTTCGTTATATGACTCTTCAGATCTCTCAGTTTCTTAGCAGAAGTACCGACGCTCTCTGGAGGCGGAGCCTCCATTTCAAATCGATTCAACGGTCTCTTGCCTGATATCTTCGATCTATTCTATAGCTCTTACTACCTCTCGTACTTTTACGACTCTGTGGTACTCTTCCACTCATTGTACCAGCAATCACTAATTTTATCAAGCGTATAATCGATATACAGATTTTGTATCCGAAAATGTAAGAGAGATAAAAATGTCGTGTACACTGTATCGTTCCAACGGCTGTACTGACCCTATACTAACACATTTGCTCTATTATATTACTAATGCCATCTACACGTTCACTAGGAACCTAAGAAAATCTTACTCAAGCTGAACTGTGCGTAACTAATCCGTTTATTATTCTCAGAAGGATCCCTTCGCAAACGCTTCAAATCTTACCGAAAGGTAAGATGCTTTGAACTTCCAAAAATGACACTTAGGAATTTGTTTCTGTTATAAAACCTTTTTTTTCTTATTTCTAAGATCTTAAAGCATCATTTAAGCAAAAAAAAAAAAAAACGATTTTTGAAATTCTACAGTGGCCTAACCCCTTAAAGCGACT